TAGACTCTGCTCCACCTGAAAATAACACGGCAGGTTGTTGTTGTAGGGCCAGCGAGCCAGTCAGAGTGCTTCCTAGCAGATTCTCACACTCACCCTTAAGTGTGGTTACAGGTGTGTTCCGACATGTCCATCTGTTTTTTCCAGACTTTTTTTCACTGAGAAAGTGGAAGGTCGGAGAATGAGTGACTGTAGCTCTCAGGGCTGACTGTAGTTTTCTTCTTTCTCTAAAATTTTCTTGGAGAAGAAGAGCCAAACAAAAGAGAAGAAGCTGAGAGGGAAGAGGAGTCTCTTGAGCAAAATGTTGAAGGGCTGCAGCAGAAGTTGGAGGACAGACAAACGGACGTCGATGGATTAAAAGCCCAAGTGACAGAGGGGATAAGCAGAAGGGAAAAGATCTCAGCAGGTACAGGGGAGGGCTCAGCTCACAGTGGGGCGGGGAGGTTCCTGCAGTGCCCTCTGAAACGCTGACAGGAGGTGCTTCCTAAGTCAGGCAGCTTCCTCTCCTCCTGTGAACACAGTCTGCTGTGTCTGAAAATAGCAGGGCCAGTTGTGGCTGCAGGTCTAGCCAGCCAGCCAGCCAGGGCCTTCCTTGTGTGGTCTCAGGAGAATTCAGGCATGTCCGTCTGCTTTTTCCAGACAGTCTGCCCACCGGGGTGGCCGGGGGTTGGGGAATGGAGGGCTGAAGCTCTCGGGGCCGACTGTTGTTTCCGTCCCTCCCTGAGATCTCCCCGGCGCAGCAGAGTGGGACCTAAGTGAGGCAGCTGAGGGAGGAAAGGTGGATCTTGAACAAAAAGTTAAAGAACTGCAGCAAATATTGGAAGACCAAGAAAGAGCGTTTGAGTTTTACAGAGTCATAATTTCAGAAGAGATCCAAGAAATCGATGACCTTCTCAGAAAGATAAATGAGACTATTGAATTGCTCGAGGTAGGTCTGGTCTGGGTCTGGGCAGTGACTATGGAACAAAGTTCTTGAACCTCAGGAGGGGATGGGTGAGAATTAAAGCAAAGTCAAGGCGAAGTATGTTCTTTTACTGCTTTTGTTTCACTGAAAGCCCTGAGTTTGTAATGGCTTATATCCACTCACTTGAATTCTGTTCACAGTGAGTTTCTGAAGAGTCCAGGGGGACTTCGGTACCTCTAAGCATTAATAGGGTATAAATGACTTTCCCAGGGCTTGTGATGCTGTGCTGAGGGATTCCTGGATGATCTCCTGTGCTCAGTATTAAATGGAGCTCGCAGGGTTATCAAGTGGATGTTCTAACGAAGTATATATACTATAAGCAGGAATTGGTTCAATTTACCAAGATTATTGCCAGTTATCAGGAACACTACTACCATCCTGAGACCCTAAGATAGAGCTTGCTAACCTAAATCTGTCAAATATGCACAGATTTAGAAATAAGGAGAATTGACAGCTTCTAATCTGGCTGCAGGTGTGTCCAGGTAAGGAGAATCTGCCTGAGTCAGCACACAGCATAGGAGTTCTCTCTTCTCCCATCTGCAAATGTTTACATCAGAGTTCTAAATCAGCTTAGGAGTTCCCAGTATTTCTAAGACATAGGTGAGAATTTGTGCCATTCAGCGGCAAGGCTCTCTCCCAAATAACATCAATTTGGCTGGAATGTCTTATTATAGCAACTGTCCCCGTGCCTCATTAGCCACCTGGCCAAACCCTAGTGATGGGTGAATGTGCACAAGGCTGTGCTCTGCTTGCTCTCACCTTCCAAGCCTAAACCAGGAGATACTCCTAATGTAAACAGTATCTTTTCATGATCTAATAAGAGATAACTGTTTAAAAGGAAAACACAGATAATTTTATAAACTGGTAATAGAAAACCTTGTATTTGAAAGACTGGGATTTTAAATAGTTTTCCTTTTACTAACACATCATACTTTTTTAGGCCACAGTAAACAACGAAAATGATCGGATAATGAGCAAAATGCTGAAAATGACTGCACGTCCTAGATAGAAGAAGACAGTGAGGAAGAAAGTACTTCACTGCCTTTTGTTTTGATCTTGGATTTGGGAGAAGAGAAACCATGTGTGGTCACTAATTACCCAGTTTTTCTCTTGTTTTCAATTCTGGCAGTTTTACAACTTTTTATAACAGCTTTTTGACCTGACCTATTTTTATTTGTGTGTACACTTTCTCTTTTTTTAAATCAAATTTTTGTAGAAAAATAGAAAAATCACCTAATATAGGACATCAGTGCCTGGCAAACAAATGATAGAATTAATGTGGCTGGAAAGTTGATTTAGATGGAAATGGAAACAACTGAGTAGAAAAGAAAGAGATGCTCAGATTCGTGATATATTTTTAAAAAGCCCAATATTGGAATATACTTACTAAGAAATGCTGCTGCAAATCACATATGAATAGTTATAGAAATAGGTGTGTACACTGTGTTCTTGAGAGGAAAGAACCAGTTCCGCCTATAAAATAACTGTCTCTTAGTTCACGTGTAAATTTTATGTGTTCCAAGTTAAAATTTCACAAAGACTGTTTCTAAATTTTAAATGAAGCTGATCAAAAAAAAATATTAAAAAGCCATGACAATTTGGAAAAGGCACAATGAAACGTACAGAATTACAATAATTAGAACAATGTGTCGCCAAGGCAGAAATATAAAAACAGAGCATAAGAACATGTTACAGTCTAAAAACAAAACTGAGAACATACTTGATTGAAAGTATGTGAAGAGTGTTATTTCAAATCAGTGGAAAAATATAAACCATACATCAAGTGTCGTCAGCTGCCTGGACAGCCACGTAGCATAAAAAAGGGTGACTAGAGCTCTTATAAACCTCGCACAGAGTAAATTCCAGCCTAACCTTAGACCGAAACATTTAAACATCTCCATAAAAATAATAAATGTCAGATAATTGTAAAACAAATTTGGAATATCAAATGTATTTTTAAGTGACATAAAACTCAAAGATATAAAAATAGTGACAAAACTCCATAAAAATAAATTTGTTGTGGTAAAAGGAGCATAGACATTCAGAAGCCAAAATGATCACCTCAATTTAAGTCATAGAAGAGAACTAATTTATACTAGTTATGAACCATATAGAGCCACAAATCAATAAAAATGGGCTGACTTTGCATAGACAGCTTATAGAAAAGTCAGATATTCAAGTCGCTCAAAATAAGAAAAATGAAACTAAAATGATAAGAAAGTGTTTTGCTACTGAGTCCAAACTCATTCTGCTCACTGCACGACAGGCCAATAAATTGGGAGACCAGGTGTTGGGGCAAGGAATAATGACTTTATTTGAAAAGCCAGCAGACCAAGAAGATGGCAGACTAATGTCCTGAAGAACCGTCTTACCCAACTGAGATTCAGGCTCCTTTTATACTAAAAAAGGGAGGCAATGTGATTGGTTGTTGCAAATTTCTTGGTGTCACAATCCTTTGTCCTTGCAGCTGTCCACGTAGGTCAGGTCATGATGTTCCCGTAAACCTCCTATGAGACAAATGTTATTCTCTGCTCTGCAACCTCCCATCTCTATATGAATGGAAAAGTGTTAAGCCCTTAAAGGTCAGAGACTTGAGAATGGGCTATTCTGTACATTTCAGGCAGTAGACAATATTCTTTTACAAAAGGTGCAGAACCAGAATGAGTAAGCACAGGAAACAGAGCACAGGGTTAGAGTTAAAGGAGCAGATCTTACATGGAGTCAGATTTGGTCTTCTCTATTCCAACTCCCCACTGCCAAGGTCCTTTCTGCAGTCTTGTGGGGAAAGGGGCAACAGCTGTCCTGGCTACTTCCTGCTGAACAGGGGTGGTGAGAGGGTGATCGTGGAAGGGAACTGGTCAGCCTCGGACAGGGGACATCCCTTAGACTCTTCAGTCGGTAGTGCAGTCCTCTTTCTTTATCTACAACTACTTGAACCTGATGAAACCCCTCAGTACTTTGTTGAGTGCTCAGTACTTGGGGTTTTGGTTCCAGTTCCCAATATATATCTATTGATGTTAACTTTCCTACTGTACCATAATTACACTAGATCCCTGTGCTATTTATTTGGACAAAATAAACAAATAGATTGACCCTTCTCCAGCTACAGTGAAATCACAATCTCAATATTCACCTTTTTTAAAGAGCAGCCTTAAGTCTTCTAAGGGCTCACAAACCCGTTGCTCTCCAGGCCTCTCAGGAGTTGGGTCATGTTTTGATTCTGGGGACAGTGGTACTGCTTTAATCTGAGTGTGATGAATCCATGGCTTTGCTCCAGCTAATCCGACCAATGAGAACACTATAATGACACGTGCGGTCCTATCCACTTTGTAATCAGCTGAGTTTCAGGTCCCTGTTCTGTCCAGATTTTAAGGAGGACTTGGTCTCCAGGTCAGAAAGGACGCAAGGCTACTAGGCAGATCTGCTGGAGGCAAACACGTAAAAAGAGATTAGTATAGTGCCTAGAGTTTTAGCATAATTGGCAACTGTTAGGTCTTTTAGAGCATTTATAGTTTTTCTTGCCTGGGTAAAATACCTGGAATGGCGTACTGTACAGTATTTTAAAGGGGCTTAATTTAAACCTACTTCTGGGGGCCACTCTGATCCATAGCAGGGCAACTGGTGTGGCCTCATCCCAAGTTAAATAAGTCTTTTGACGTATTTTAGCATTATGCTTTTGGAGCCCATTCCTGGTTCCTTCCTCGTAGGCAAAAAAAAGGTGTCTCAGGAAAATGGGGCAGGAGAATGGCCAAGTCCCAGGTTTCAGGTGAGTCCCTGGGACGTGCACCATCAAGTGAAGGTCCTTGGTGTTGCTCAGGAAAGAATTCAAAAGTGAGCCATAGTAGAGTGAATGTAGATTTATTCAAGAGATACACGCTCCATAGATAGAGGGTGGGCCATCTCAGAAAGCCAAAGCAGCCACAAGGCATGAGGGTGTTTAGTTTAAAGGAAAAGTAGTTACAGTTTCCACAGACAGAGTGAGGGTCGTTTCAGAAGGCAAGATAGACAGAGCCCCCATCGGCTGCAAGGTTGTTAGTTTTTCTGAGCTCAGTAATTTCATACACTAACAAGTAGGAGGGTTTTTCCAGCTACTTTGAGGATGGGGCAAGGGTTCCCAGGAGTTGGGCCATCACCCATTTTTTTGGCCTGGGAACTGTCATGGCGCCTGTGGGAGTGCCATCTAGCATGCTAATAATCAGGATGAACGTATGATGAAGCTCCGGGTCTACTGAGATTTAAATCTTCTGCCAACTTGGGCCTGGCTATTGTGACTTTCTTTTAATGGTTGTACACTGCCCCCTTCCCATGTCTCAGTTTAATGTAAGGGCCATGCAAGGAGAATGGATGGCTTCTGCTCTGAAGGCCCCAACTCCCCCATCATTTTCCTGGAAGAGTTCTAAAATGTAAAGTTTACAGGGTGTGTTGTGGGGCTAAGTGGAGTCCTTCAATATCCAATGACCCTCATTCCTGGGTTCTCAGATGTCTGCCTGTGATCTCTTAAAAGATAAGGTACATTTTTTTACTGGGCATGTTTGAATAGCCCTAGGTAGTGCCTAATCTCACAATCGCTCAAGCTAGTTTGTTTGAGCCTACCTTATCAGAGTCATAAATCCCACCACCTTTCAGGGACCCTAAACTTCTTATGTCACCTACAACCAATCAAAAGCTTGTGCAGGAGCTGATTACACAGCCCCCAAGCCATTGTGTTTACCAACTCCTCCATCCCCATAAAAGGCCTCAGCAACCAACCCCCAGAGCTCACACAGGCACTTCTCATCTGTATGGTTCACTGTATCAGCAGCATATCTATTAAACTTTTCTTTGTTTTTAAGCTTTTCTTAGTCTTTGGTAAATTCTTTTACTACCCGTGACACTGGTCCACTTGTCCCTGGAAATGTGTGACATTCTTCTGATTGGTTGGTAGTAAGGTAATAGGGTGATATCTATGGAATCTCAATCTTCTGATTCCAACTAGTCTGATGTATATGTCCTTATGATCAGCATGTAGTCACCACCTTCTACTTAGTTGAGGGACTTAGTTTCTGTAGAAGAACTCAGAGATATGTATCCAACTGTCATCTATATCCCTTCAGGAGGAACTTGGAGTCCTGTGACTCTATTGTCCTATTAACCACTTGAGCCTGCTCTTTGGGATGCAGTGAAGGCCTAGGAGACTAAAAACTCTTTTTTTCCCCTACAAACAAGAAACAGGGGACATCGAGAGACTTTTGCATGAGGGAGGATCATGCAGGGTTCTGCTAGGTTTCAACAGCAGAAAACTAACCAATAAAAAATGATGCCAAATTGCTTTGTCATAGAAATTTTAATTGCTCCCCAAAACAAGATAATGAGTAAAGGAAAGAATAAAATGGGGAAGAACCAGTAAGATAGAAAGGGGCTGTGCTTTGGTGGAATGAAGAGCTCATGGCTCCCTTCAAAGCTGTGATGGGCAATAGGAAGAAATAAAGATCTCGGAAGCAGGACCAAGATGGCGGCATAGAAGGACGTTTGTAGCTCACCCTCGCCCACAAATACACCAGAACTCACATCTGCGGACCCACCCAGCCAACCAGAGCACCTGCTGAACTCCAACAGAATATTGCCGTCTTCAAAAGACAAAAACACCATGAATCTGGTAAGAGAAAAGTTAAAAAGAAAGAAGAAAAAGCAAAACAGTGCGGGACTGGTCCCGCGGGGAGGGAGCGTCAGAGGAGGACTGGCGCTCGCTCGCTGGGTCTCCCCTCTCCAATGGAGAAGCCAGCGGGATGGAGGGGGAGCCTCTGAGGCTCAGATCTGTACGGAGCAGCCCTTGATCGTCAGAACTAAGTTAAACAGGCACAAGGGGTCCCCGTGACACCCAGCCTGAGAGGTGAGCCGGCAGCTGGGGGACAGGAAAGGCTGCGTGAGAGGGGCGGAGGACTAGGGCGGCTGCACTGAGGCAGCCCCCGGGGACTGCAGGGGGCTGCGTGCTGTGGCTGGGAGGGGATAAGAAGCAGGACCACCTCGGCCCCCCATAAATTGTGAAAAAAAGCAAGCAACACAGCTGGTATGCCCTGGGGGGAGGGGCGCAGTAGCCTTTGTCTCCTCAGGCCCGCGGCGCCATTCCTGGCACTTCTCGCGAGAAGACAGGCGGGGCGCGGCCACAGCCACCATCTCCTGTGCGCGGCGTCCAGGCCGAGCCCTGAATCTGTACCTGGGGGCACTGCAACCTCCTGGGCAGGATTGAGACTTGTTTACAGCCGGAGGCAGGATCTTTCTGCCCTGGTACCTCAGAGAACTAATGCTGCCAAGACAAGCAAGGAGCTGAGTTTTGCACAGAGCAGTGGTGGGGCCATTCCACGGTCTTCCCCGAGCCCGCCTACGGCGCGCCAACCCGAGGCAGAGCTGGCAGCTGCACAGAGCAGCGGAGCAACCAGCGCTGGGAGAGTGCAGGCGGCCCCCCACCTTTCTGGCAGGAACACAGCACCTGACCACGGTGCTGGAGAGGGCGTGATCCGCCCGCATATGTTGCCAGTCTGCAACATCTGACTGTGGCATCGGGAGGGGGAGGGGGAGTGACCTGCCCACCCACAGCGAAGGAGAGCAGC